GAAAGAACAGGAACAGAGAGAACAGGAAGTGAGACAACAGCAATACAGTTTTGGAAGCTATAAAGCATATGGTCAAATGGTAATAAAATTAACAGAAATAAGAAAGTCAAATTTTAAACCAGGTAACAACCTGATACATGTGCATCACAACACTCTAAAAACGACTCAATCACTGGAAGTGAGGGTAAAGAGGAGGGGATGAAGTGAGCACTATTAACTTAAGAAGCAATTCTGTACCGCAAGAATGTTCCCAGTATACTTTTTGGCAACTGGGCCTCTATTAGTTGGGGAGAATTTTAATAATATGCATTGATTTATATATGAGAAAAAGAAAAAAAAATCTAATATAATGCCAGAATTCCTAAATTCATTGAATGGTGTTTCTGTTCATCAAGTGAAAAGATTTGTATCTTAAAGTACACACAAGAACTTGAAAATAAAACCTACACTTTAAAAATTTTCAGAAATAACTGCTTTATCCCAACAAGCATTCAGTCTCATGTTTTTCTCCTTTATTCCAGGTTACTGAAATTTTTGTATATGCTCTTTTTCAAAAATAGGTTACTTTTCTTGTATAAATCATTTTAAGTTATAAGTAGACATATGGTATACATATCTATGAATTTCACAACCATACAGTGAAGCCTTATTTAGGTTATTCACGCCGATTTATTTTTTTGAGGATGTTTTAAATATTTGACAAAATATAATTCTTTCAACAAAGTTGATATAAAGTATATAATTAATGTTGCCCTCAGGTAACAGAAACATGTAACAGTCCAAGTTATACGGGATACATGCTAGTTTATTTTATTCTTTATTAACTCTTATGTTCTAACAAGGGGAGATGTAATGCTCTCAGTCATTTTTTGAGCAAGGTATGGTATGTATAAATAAACAAATACATATATATGTACATATATGTATGTACAGCTACATATCCAAACCTGATTGAAGGAGCCAATTAAAATTCCATGATACAAAGAATATTGTACAGTTACCTGGACAAAAGTACTGCCATTGAAAGAATTCTTTACAGTATAAGAAACAGCACATTAAAATAATTATTTAAATTTTCAAATCAAATTTTCAAATAAAAAATTTGCTAATTTTATACATCAATATTCCTTCTTAAAGTATATAAATTTGTGCTGTTAAACAAATCCGCATGTGTCCAGAAGGTAAGAAACAATAACATACCTTAATGACTTAGAAGAACAAACCTAGGATCTTTCTTAAAGAAATTTTGTTTATTTTAAACTAACCATTCACTGGTCAGTAATTCTGGAAAAAATAATTTAAAATAATTATTCAAATTCTTCAGATGACGTTTATAAAAAGTGACAATGTCAGGAGAGGTATTTTTATTTAAATTTAATTTGTAAAATATGTCAATTCTCATGAGAGAAAACTCAGACTCCATTTCTGAAAAGTTGTTTGGTGAGGAATTATACAGGTTTTTCTTCAAATGCTTATTCTAACCTGAGACAAATGAAATATATCAAAATACTGCTAGTATTTCCAGAAATAGAAAGATACAAATATTGTGAGTTCACCATTAAACATCTTTAAGGGTTTTTGAGGCAATGCACCCAAACTCAGAGATCAAATGTATGCACCATTTGAAATTGTACTATAAAAGGCAAGTCAGTTAAATTGCCAATCTGAGCAGACTCAACTCTTTTTTCTTTTTTTTTTTTTTAATATTTATTTATGCATACAAGAACTGGGGTATAGGCCAGAGGTGTGGGGGTGAGAGGATTCACCAGAGAAAGAGGGGAACAGAACAGGCAGATGTACTAAAATACACTGCTGAGGGGAGCAGTAGGTGAGACAGAAGAGGTCTGCTGTGCCATGTGGGTCACCTCCCTGGCTGGGGATCGAACTTGTGCTGCAATCGCTGCAGATAGCTTCTTAGGTTGTGTCTTAACCCCTTGCACCACCAGGGAGGCCCAGATTCTCCTCTTCATGAAAGATTGAAAAGGATGAGGTGTGAACCTGAAATTCTCTCAGCTAGGTTCACTGCATAGTGAGGCAAAGAAGAAAGACTTTAAAGGCCTCAGTTAATATGCAACTAAGAACAGCTATTTTCCACTAATTATATCAGGAGAGAGTAGAAAAAGAAGACCATGAAAAAGGAGGAGACACAGAACTAGTGAATACCTATGTTTTATGAGGAGAAGACATGCTCGCAGAAAACACTGAAAATGGGAGTATTGGAGGTCCTTAGAAACAGGTCTTTATACCTATTTGATTTGCTAGTGCAAGGTAAGACCAGAAGTTCCAGTTTTATCATCCACCGGATAATAATTGGGAGAAGTATATACCCTTCTAGCATGCTCAAATCCAGACACACCAAACTATATTCATTGCCTCCAAAGTCTATCACTCTCTCTTTCATTACATTCCACACAATTAGCAAATGCAGCATCCTCACCATGAGCACAGCCACTCCTCTGCCCTTCCTAATTTTATTACCAGAGCTTCATATTTATTATTATAATCTGCCAGGAGACTAATGTAAGTACAGAATATGCCATATCAGATAAAAAGCTTTTGGCTCCAAGCAACTTCTAAACTCAATTCAAATTGGCACATAAATAGAATGTTTGTCTCACTACCAAGAAACACAGTAGTTATAAGAGACTCAGTCTTAGCATCTCAATCATTGTCTGAACTCTACCTTTCTCTAACTGTTGGATACATCCACAGGTTGGTACTATGGGTCTCAGTTTCACAGCCAGGAGAATAGACATCCCATAGGAATCAAGGCAGCTCTCTTCTAGAACTCTCTTTTAGGAATAAGGAGACCTCTCCAAAAGAAGTCTCCTAGCAGATGTCCTTTTATGTCTCTATCACCACAATTGGGTTATATGCCCATTTTGAATAACCAGTAACTAGAAGGATGAGATTATTTTGATTGACTTAGATCAGCATCCACCTCCTGGCTGGAGATGGGACTACCTAAGTGAAAAAGGAGAATTATATACATAAACCCAAACCCAGATTTTGCTGCCTAGGTCAAAAGAGAGAATGGAGATTGATAGGACAACAAAAATGTCTACTACTTATGCATCAACAAATATAATGGAATAAATGGATAACCAAAAAAATACATTCATTTTCTTTCACTATTTGTGCCTTAGCTTTTCCTAAATAAAGGATAATCTAAGATATTCAGTAATATAAAAACAATGTTTGTCACAAATTCAGATCAAGGCTAGCAAAAATGTTATAATTCTAAATATTTCTACGTCCATGTCATTGTGATATTTTTCACTACAAATCTCTATATAGTTTCTATATTGGTAAGGTAGCTTCTTAGTGGGATACCTAATGTAAACTAGATTTTGAAGAAAGCCAATCAAAGTTTCATAATTTTATTGATACTATCATAATCAATATGCCCATTAGCATTCCAGATCCTGAGTAATATTTTAATTCTTCATAAAGTAAAAATACTCAAGTAACTTAGTACCAGCCAATTGTTTATTATCAGCAAAATGCACATAGTTTATTCACTTATCCCATGACCAGTAAAACTTATTTTGGTTATAATATCCTTTAAGTCTTATATATGCTAAATACATCTATAAAGGACAAAGTTAAATGTTGGTGATATTGTTGAACATAAATAATCCAGTCCCTGGTGTATTCCTTTCCCACCAACCACCTTCAAGAACAATAGAAATTGAAATCGCTGATAACACGAAATCTCTTCCTACATGGATAATATATCTGTAAATCAACTATGCAAATATTCAATGACTGACTGGAGGGGTTCACTAACCAGAAAACAAAACACAACAAAAATTACAAAATCCTTAATTTTACCTCTCCCTTTAGACATATTGCCAACATTTGTACATGTTTTTCCTTCAAAACTGAAAACCACACAGAGCACACATGAAAAACAAAGATTAGTCACTTTTGCCATGCTTGATGATTTCCATCCTTTTCTAATGAGAGGGCGTCCACTGTGACCCAGGATAATTTTTGGCAGAGTGTTTAAAAGAGTTTTGAACTTGTATGCCCTCAAGTGGTGCATGCACTTTCCATTCCAGTTGTTAGCTGTCTGGTCCTCAGAGGTATTAGTGTTTGTTCTCTCAGAAATTATTTTAAGCTTATGAGACTTATGCTTACATTTAACACTAGAAGCACTTTCATTTTCCATTTTCCACTCAGCTTGTTTTAAAAAAAGACTGACAATGCAATGGAATATTGAATTATTTTCATAAACATAGGTATTTAAAGATTCAACCCTGTGAGTATGGACCACTACTTGACAAGCAGACTACTGCTACAAGTTCAAATTATATTTTTAAACAGCTTGTATGGAAAATAGAAAGTTGAAATTCAAAATGTCAAGATTAGATTACAGTTTATAATGAACAAATACAGACAGCTGGAAAGGCAAAACCTTGAAAGCTGGGAATAACTTAACTGCGGAGCTAATTCCAATGATTGTTTGGGTCTGAATTTTAGTTTGGTCCTATTCAGAGAGCTGGGAGCCACACTCAGTTCCCAGCAATGGAGGAGGTATTGGGAAGGTACTGGTACTACTGCCTCCTAAAACCTAGTCTTTTTTTTTTTTTTTAATGAATCAGTTTTATTAAAATGCCTTTATTTCCTTTTAGTCAGTTTAATTATCACAAACTTGTTTAGATAACGAGCTCATAAATTGGTCAAGAATGTGTAGTAGAATTTTTAATATGCCATTAAAATAGTACAATGACAAATATTTTAAGTAAAGGAATAAACCTTTATATAAATTAGGGGCTTTGAGCATATAACAATTCTATTTGAGACTACATATAATGAATTGATTGATAAGGTGCTTGAATATTGCTAAATTAAAATATTTCCTACAAAACTTTAAAAAGGATATAAACTGTTAATAATTTTAAAGATTGGCACTGTTAAAATATGAATATAAGATAGCAATTTAATTATAGTCATTCAAAAATAAAACAATATTTAAAAATAAAATATAATACTACCTTGTTATGATGTAGCCATAAGTACTTTAATTTTTTAAACCTAGAAAGATCAATGACCTCTGTCAGTTCCCTAAAAAGAAAAAAAAAAAGATATTAGCAACAGTGAATTCACCCATGGTTAGGCTGGTCATATAGTTAGTATGACTTTGGAGTAACTGGAAAAATCTCTATCTTCATCCTTTCAAAATTGTTGGCACACTTACATACCAATTTCTAAATTTCCATCATTGTAGCCTGGTTTATCCACTTAAAGCAAATACTTAAAGGAAAGTATTTTATCATATTGGTAGAAATTTATACGTTTTGTCTGAATTTCTTGGGACCTCATTTAATAAGATTTTACTGTTAAGAGTCTGCAGGAAAAAAAAAGTACAGAAGACACTGGACTTTCAAGTAAATATGAAAACACCACTGGTTTCTGATTCAACAGTGTCTATAGGATTCTTCCTTTGGTGTTGTCCTCCATCTTTTCCAGTCTGGATTTAAGACATGGAAATTGTCTTACCAAAACACAGAGACTGAGTAAAGTGTTTTATTGTCCCTTTGTCGCTTATTACATCCTTCTTGAAGGATGTGGGTTTGTGGAAATGGGTTTGTTAACAGGGGGCTGAAGCCAAAGACTGTTACAGGTAGCACCCCCTGAGGGGGTTCCTGGTGAAGATAAATAGCCCCAAGCAAAAATGAATAAAGTACAGTGGGACAGACACTCTAATAAGAAACATAAGGGACTGCAGAAGCAGCCCCCAGCATTGAGCATTGGGGATCTTAGCGGTTTGGGATGATCAGCGATTCTGGGGTCAGCCATTTCTGCCCCCACCATGCTAATTTTTCAGAAGGCTGTTATGGGCCTCTGAGATATGTGAAGAGCCTTCCAGCAGCCAATCTCAGAGAAGAAATGTTCAGAGGTTTTTCAGGTAGCTGAGCAACTGAAACTGTTCCCTGCTGCTATAGCCTGGAAGGAAAAGGCAAAGACCCAGAGCCAGGCGCCTCTCTGACTCATGAGTGTGGGCCGTTTGTCAGGTCGTTTGGCTGCTGGAGCTGCTGTTTTGAGTGTAGCTTGTCTGGTGCTGTGCTGGGGCATCTTGGCAACTCCAGTGAGCATGTCCCATTGTGCCTTCTGCTATCTTTGTGAATCCAGGCCCTCAGTGGTGGGGAAACTTAATCTTGGGGGTGTGTGGCCTTTTGTTTGGCAGAGAAGCTCTGTGTCCTCACTGGCAGGAAGTCTCCATCTTGGGAGCCTTCATGTTCAGAACTTTAAAACACTGGGCAGTGCTTCGAGTGAGGTAAACAGCCATTTATGGCTTCAGTGACTCTTTGTTTTCCTTTGTTTGTTAAGTAATTTCCATTATTGTTGTTCTCTGAACCTGAGGAGTCTTGCAATTGTGCACGTGGATGAAGAACTCTGAAAGTGACTGATAAACTATTTGGGCAGGGTTCTTGGCCAGTTTTAGTGCCCCTTGTTGCCCTGGATCAGTTTAGGCTTTGTTGCTGATGCAGGTCACACAGCAAATGGGCAGACATGGTGTGGAAAGAGGACAAAACCTCTGAGAATAACTGACCGTTTGCTGTGGCTGGAGTTTTCAGATTTCTTTCTCAGGGTAGAAATTATGGGTCCCAGGTGTCTATTTGTCAGGCACTTATACACACAAAATGCCAGGAACTTTTCTAAGTATTTTAAAAACACTAATGCTGATGAATATTACATGTATGAACTCATGTAAGGTAATATCTTCTTATAATTATCCTAACTATGGAACACTGAGGCACTAAAATTTACAAATTTTTAATGAAAATAAACATACTTTTAAAAGCAGGCAAGCAGTTTTTTAAAAAAGGAATCTTTCTTACCAACTTATATTGAAAAATTTGAAACCTAAAATTAATTAATAGTACAACAAATACTTGTATAACGTTTATCATTTTTAATATTTGCCACACTTTTGCTCATTCTATGTATTTATTTATTGACTGATAACTTTCTTGGTGAATGGTTTGAAAGCAATTGCAGACATATTGCAGGTCTCTAAATCCTAAACTCTTCAGCATGCTATTATCCCCAAATCATGACATTCTCCTGCATAACTACAACATCATTACCATACCTTAGAAAATTAAAATTAATTCAATGATACCATCTAATATATCATTCACATTTAAATTGCATTGGTTGCCCCTACACTTCTTTTATAGTTGTTTAAATTCAGAACACCATCAATGTTCATGAGATGCATTTGCAGTTAGGATAAGATTTAGTCTTCTTAAATTTAGAATATTCACCTTCCTCCCTTCTACCCCCTCCCCCTTAACACTGACTTTTTGAAGAGACCAGGACAATTGTCTGATAGAATGTCTCACGTTCTTGATTGTTCTGATTGCTCCCTCATCACTAAAATCAAAGGAAGTTTTCAGTTACAAAGGAGGTAACTACTGAATCACATCAGAAGGCAAATGATGTCACTTTATCTTACTCTTGGTGAAGCCAAAATCAGTCTTTTGATCAAAGCCAGGTCTCTTCATTGTAAAAGTACAAATTTTGTCATTGAAAAGAAATGTTGAGCAAAAAATTGTTAAGCCTTGCTAAGGTCCAATTGCTCCCTCCCAGAAATGGGCTATATATCTGCTAAGAGAGAATGCATTATGTGTGTAAATTCCTACTGGGAGCTGTTTTGGATGGATCTGGAACGTTCTGTGCCTGAGACGTGCTCAAAGACGAATGGTGCATGTTTGTTTGGGATAATTTGAGAATTGAAAAAAAGAAAAGAGTGATAAGGGATTAAAAAAAAATTCCTATTCAGGGAAAAGAAGAAAATGAACGACAGAAAGAAAAGGGAGGGGCAGATTTTTACAGAATGACAGCCATTAAGTGTGAAATGAATGAAAGCATTTGGAAAAATCACCGTTTAATAATCCCAATTCTATTCACTCAGGTAAATATCATCAAAGCTAATACCATTAAATAAATAGTTATTGGGGCACAAGATGTGCAAAAGTATGTCCAATATTATGTTAACTTTCTGTTTCTATGAAAAATGAAACAATCATTATAGGGTAGCAGAGAAACTTAAACTCCACTTAAAGGATTTTCCCCAAAGAGTTCCCAGAAGTATTATCTTAAGACATTAATCTGTAAAATATCAACTGTGTCAAATTACTGCCATTAATTTTGTTGTGCTACTACTATCCATGCTGAATTTTCAGCTATCGGAGAATGTAAATAATCTACTTTTCTTTTACTCTATCACGAATTTCTTTTGTCCTAATGATGCTTTATGAAACTGGCCATATGTTGATTTTGTACATTGTATATGTAAACTCATTTCTGAGTAAGGAGGGAGCAGTACAAACTATTTTCGGTTAAGGGGACAGTGGACCTGATTTGAAAACCACCCATCATGTCAGATGTTTGGGACGCACCGTTCCTTAGAAAACGAGAGGTCACTTTGGCATTTCTATGCCCGCCCCGACTTTCTGTGAATATACTGTGTCCACGGACCACATTTTTGTACAGGGGTTCAAAAGTCATCAGGTTTCTCCCCTGTGAGGATTCTCTGCTAGCATAGAACACCGAGGCACCACGCAAGGCTCCACCACCCCATTAACATGCCCTGGGCTTTTGGCCCGCAGATCTCGTGGACGCCCAACCAGGCAGAGGCCCTGCGGGCAGGCGCGGCAACTGTAGCTCCGCCCCAGGGTTGCCTCCTGAGCTCTTGGGCCTGCAAGCAGAGCGAGGTCCAAGACTGGCAAAAGGCTGCAGCCACCGCGGTTCCGCTTCCAACGTGGGCCTGGTCTCGGTGAGTTTTCTGGCGTCGCATGACGTGAGAGCTGGAAGTAGCATTTTACGTACGATAAACCTTAAAGGTCCTGTCACTCGCGTGGACTCCTGTCCTCTAGACGCAAAGAAGGATGGGAGCCGGCGTTTCTGCCCCTCGTGCTGGGGCAGAGCTGAAGCCCCTCAGAGGACGCCGGCCAGGACTGCTCCCCCCGCGGCTGTGGTGGGTGCTGGGCCTGGGAGGAGCTGTCCCAGGACCCCGGCCAGGACTGTGGGCCTCTGCTCCGTGAGAGTCCTCAGAGGAAGGAACTGGCAAGTGAGCCAAGAAGGAACCCCCAGACTCCCTCCCTACTGTGGTATAGGGGATACATTCTGGCTGCAGGCCTTCCTGTGCTGCCCACTCTCAGGGACTTTCCCTCGGGTGTAAAATTTTTTTTTTTAAGATTTATTTATACAAGAACTGGGGTACAGTCAGAGGCACGGGAGGGTGAGAGGATTCACCAGAGACAGAGTGGGGGACAGAAACAGGCAGACAGACTGAAATACACTGCTGAGGGGAGCAGCGGGCGAGGCTGGAGAGGTCTGCCGCGCCATGGGGGAATCTTCCTGGCCGGGAATCGAACCCGCGCTACAAAGGCTGCGGACAGCTTCACAACGCGGCACTCAACCCGCTGTGCCACAGGCGAGGCCCTCGGGTGTAAAGTCTATGGTAGAAAGAGTTTCCACAGCATGAGCATTTTTAGGCCTTGTTGACCGCGCAGGTTTTTGGTGCTGCCACACGGGCGAGGTGGCCGAAGGCCTCCGCGCTCTTTCTCAGCTTGTTCCTCGGTCCTGTGCGCCTTCACTTACACGCAGGAAGCAGGGCAGCGCGCACTGGTTAAGCGTACACCGCCCCCTCTCCCACCGCCGCTCCAGACCCCGGTGGGGGTTTGTTGACTCTGTGTGAAAGCATCGCTATTATCGGGACAAAGTACCCACCACAGCTCATCCTCTACACAGCAGTGGCTGTTACCACCCACCATGGTGTGCGCCAGGCCTTCAGGGTATGACCTGGCGCAGGGATAGGCCTGTCCACTCAGGAATAGCCCTCAGCTCCCATGGAGAACAGGGAGGACAAAGTACCAAATTAAAGTGATTCACTTTTAAGGTTACTTTAATTCTTTCATGTCATATTCTGCACATAAACTTGTCCTTAACCAATAGGCTGTCAGTTGAGGCCAATGGTGGAGGAGAGGAAATTCTACTAATGATGGCAATGATTCTGTTGACAATATGTGAATCCTGTTGTATAGCATAAGTTCTCTGATTATTCAAGGTCATATGAATAACATGCTTTCCATTTTGCAAGGGCAGTAGAGACTTAGGCAAATATACCAGTTGACCTGGTTAATTGCTGTCTGGACAGTGAAACATTTTTTTGTTCCCATATGTTGTAATTGGTAAGACAGTATTTTTTTTACTTTTTATTTTATTTTTTTTTACCTAAAAACATTTAATTTTTTTAGTGGATCTTAATTATTTTATATATTTTTACATCATTTTTCATTTTTGCACAATGTATGCATTTTCATCTTGGTTATAGTCCCCATACAATTCCCACCACCCTTGTTTTGATCCTTACTCCCTTCTCCCCCCCTGTAGTGTGTCTCTGGTTTATAGTTGCTTGTTGATTTTGATTTTTACTTTATTATAATTAGTCTTTTTCCTGGTCCCTTATTTAGGTTTTCTAAATTCCTACTATGAGTGAGACCATCCAGTATTTTTCTTTTTCTTTCTGGTTTACTTCGCTGAGCATGATCCCTTCCAGCTCCATCTATGTTGCTGCAAATTGCATGAGTTTTCCTTTTTTGATTGCTGAATAATAGGTAATACAGTATTTTTAAGATATAAATTGTGCTGTCCTTTACTTGAGATGACCACTAATTACCAACTGGCAGAAGGTCAATATTTGTAATTTATTTCTAGTGATTTAAAGGTTTTCTTACTATAATCTACTTATCCTTGTGATTTATAGTACACAGTTGTTAAAATCAAAAGAAAAGCTTAGAGATGCAATATTTTGACCACTTGAAATTTGTTATTATTGTAAAACTAATCTATGGAAAGGTGCAAAGCATAACTAAGTGTGTTAGAACATTCCTATTCTAAAATTATATATTTTAAAAAACGTTAAATTGGTCAGGTACTTATTTCCTTACTACCAGGAGATTCATGGCCAATACAGATAAATATTTTTCTCTACTTTGATAAAAAAAATTATGTGTAACAAAATAATTGCTTAAAAAGAAAAGATTTCCTTTTCAGCTGGCCTCCAAAGATTACATAGGAACAGAAATATATCTCAATCTATTAAAACAATACATAGAATTCACAGAGATTAAAAATCAAGAACAGGGCCTCCCTGGTGGCACAGAGATTAAGACACTACCTATGAAGTTATCTGTAGCCTTTGCAGCACGAGTTCAATCCCTGGCCAGCCACAGATATACCCACATGGCATGGCAGACCTCTCCTGACTTGCCTGCTGCTCCCCTCAGCAGTGTATTTCAGTCAGTCTGCCTGTTCTGTTCCCCACTCTGTCTCTGGTGAATTCTCTCACCCCCCACACCTCTAGCCTGTACCCCAATTCTTATATGCATAAGTAAATAAATCTTTAAAAAAAAATCAAGAACAGGTAGGGAAAGAATAGGTTCATTGTTATTAAAGTGTAAACTGTGGCTACACCATGAAAACTATGGTATCAGAGTTCAAACCAACCCATAACTGCCTCTTCCTCTTCCACCTTCATAGTGCCTAGATTCTATCTTAGGCACCATGATTGCTCTGTAGAAGAAGGCCCTGCTTTGCTATCTACCACCTTGGTGAGTTAGAGTGGAATCAAAGAGGCTGCTACATAAGGAAAGGATTTTCCTACTTGTCAGTAAAATAAGTACAGGTCTTGTTACATAGGGGTTATAGTGTAATAGGGTTATTACTATAGTATAGGAGCATAGTGAGGTTATTTTTCTAATAACAGTAATATTAACTGTACTAATCCTCATTCAATACTTACTGTGTATACCTCTCCTATCTTTTACTAACTTACCTAATCTCCACAACAATCCCGTAATGCAGGTAGCATTATTATATATAGGAAATATGATCACCAGATAAAATACCTAGTCACCGAGAAATAGCAAATGTTCCAGTGTTGTGTGGGATATGCTTATACCTAAAAATGTTGTAATCATTTGTTTCTCAGCAATTCACATGTAACTGGACATTCTATTTTTTAATTTGCTAAACCTGACAACCTTAACAGGGAGGTTCTTGTAGAAGGCCCAGGATTACCCAGATGGAAGACAGAGAGCTAACTCCATGCCCTTTGCTTTTATTCATTTTGATATCTTGCCTCCCCAAGAGAGACTGTGTGCCCCAGTGAGTGGTAAAGTAATTAGAATGTGCTCCTTTTCTATACAGTCCGGAGGAGGGAAACAATGGAAAAGACTGAACCTATGAAATATTATAACATGATGCTCTTCCATTTCTTACATAAAATATACTTACTTTTGAGAAAGGAAGAGCTCAAATACATCAGCATCCCTTTTGTGGCCACATATCTTTAGTTGATCTTCAACTGCCTGATAACATATAATTAATCTGTCAAGCCACATTCCACTGAGCAAAAATACTGAGACATTTACAGTCAATAACAATAACGTCTACAAGAAGATCAAAAGAAAGGTGAATATGGAGGCAACCACTCTAAACTGATAAATTCCAACACTACAATTATATATTATTTAATCATTTTTGTGGTTGAATTTCATTATCCTTAATCCTGGGCACAGATGTGTAAATAATTTTTAATCAAAGAGAAAAAAATGTGTACGTGTACATTACACCAAAAACAAGTCTTCGATTTTCTATGAGGCAGGATAATTGGGTCTTTAGTAATTATTGGTAAATGTCCTTCAAACAAGAAAAATTCGTATTTGGTAGGTTTTCCATATTTACAGAAAACACCTAATATCACAGTTGGAGGTGGAAAGATTAGGAGATAAACTATACATTATCATAGGAGATTCTTTTTTGTATCCACCCCAATATACTTGACACCCTGAAAGTTCTCAATAAATGTCAAATGAGTGAATGAGCGAATAAGTCAAAAAACATACCTCCCTTGCTTTGCAAAGGAAAAGTGTCTTTGTTTTTCATAAGTTACTAACAGACTTTCACCGTGGGAATTTTTGGTGGAAAAGAAGCAATTTTTATTCCTATGGGCTTTTTTAGAAAATACAAAACCAGCAATAGCTATTTATTCTTCGTAAGGTTCTTTTCAAAATTACAAAATAACATTCATAGGCCACATGGCTTAAGATGATATGGAAAAATTAAAGCCCATGTATAATGTTCCATGAAGGAATAAAACTAACAAGACACAACAAAAGTGGAGAGTATAATCATTGCACTTCGGAAAGCTGACATACATTGTAATTATCAGACTCAAAACACTCACCAAATTTCAGCTTGGTTAGTGATGTATGAAATTTTGACAAAGATTTTGTTATTTATTAGAACTTTAAGAAGAGCTAGACAGAGTAGGGTGAGTAAATATCTAAACAAGTAAGGAAGGTAGCTATCCTAGGGATACAGAGCAGTTGCTAATTTATAGTCCCAAACTTTCTTTTTTACCCTGTTACACAAACTGAATCTTGGCACTTGGAGACTTCATTGGCTCAGCTGTGGGCATTTCCATCATAATATTTTGTGACCCTGATAAGCAAGGTGAATCTGGGACTTGGAAAAACCCATTGCAGTTTTAGGCATCTGGATATTTTTAAACCATATCAGCTTCTATACAGTCAATTACAACTTTACCAGATTGGCCAGGATGTTAATGATCAGTCAAAGTAGACTTAAAATTTGCAGTCATCTATTGAAGTTGCAAATGTGTTTATAACTTGATCCCACCATTCTACGTGTAGCACTCAAAAATAAACTGGAACACACACACGCAAACAAATGTGAATACTATTGCTCATCTCAGCAAGTCTCAAGATTGTCTGTAGTTGTGAAATACTCCCCACTAACTGGAATATGTGTTAAATTAAGATGAGACTTCACAATGGTACATTGTGTAGTAGCTTAAAAATATACAGAGATGGAGATCTAGACAAATAGAGGTCCAAAGGAATTTTTAATTAAAAAATGCCATTAGTGGTATAATACATGTAAGTGTAACAATATTTTTGTTACCAATAACATTTATATTCATACAAGATTCTCACACACTCCAAATTGTTAACAAAAGTAATCACTTGTGCTCCTGGGAAACTTTCACTTCCTGAGCAATACACTTTTTAATGATGTTTGAATATTTTACAATAGGCACATATGAATTTAATAATCAGAAATTAATAGGCATTTTGAACATTTTAGCCATAGGATAAATATTTAAAGATTTAAATCAAAATTTTAAAATGAAGACAGGAAAGGGGAAATTGGAACTATCAGTAAAATATGCAAATCACTATATGATTATTTATTTGCACAACATTTTATCACGATATGTTTCTTTCCAACCAAAAATTTTGTATAAATCTGGTAACAAGTATTAATGTCAAAGTGCCAAAGAATGCGAAAACGTGCCAAGAAGTTTTGAGTTTCAGTGAATCCTCAGTGGACCAGTTCCAGTTCCCAATCAACACACAACTTCACTAGCAGCAAACTCCTTTCATCTAAAGAAACACAAGCATTTTTACCCTGAACTTCTTTTATTGTGGCAAGATATACATAGCACAGAATTTACTACTTTAACTGTACAGTTCTGTGGCATTAAGCACATTCACATGGTTGTGCAACCATCACCACCATCTATTTCCAGGATTTTTTCATCCTCCCCAATTTAAGCCCTGTATCCACTAAACTCTTTACTTTCCTCTCTCCCCGATCCCTGGCCTTCTACTTTTTGTGTTATGATTTTGACTACTCTCTCTACTGCATGTACATGGAATCCACACAGTATTTGTCCTTATGTGACTGGCATAATGTCTTCAGTTTAAAATGGGTAATAGTATATTTATAATGAATAATATTCTATTTTATGTATATACCACTTTTTTCCTTTTATCTGTCAATAGACACTGGGTTGTTTTCACCTTTTTGTTTTTGTAAATAATGCTGATATGAACATGGCTGTACAAATACCTGCTGAAGTCCCTCTTTAATTTGAGTATGTTTTCAGAAGTGGAATTGCTGGATCATCTGGTCATTGTACAATTAATTTTTTGAGGAATCACCAATACCATTTTCCACAGCAGCTACACACAAACAAGCATTCTTTAAACATGAACATTTTTAAAATAGTAGGTCTAACTAGATTGTTCAGTCATTTATTAAACCATAAAATACTGAGTGCCTCCTTACTTCAGGACTGGCTATAACTAGCTCGTAAACATAGCAATGAATTAGGCAAGGTGCTAGCCATTTATGAGTATACCTTTTTGTAGGAGAAGGAAGGGCTATTCAATCCTATAACAGAAGGTTGCAAGTGTTAAGGGCCGTGAGAAAACGAAAATATGCTCTCAGAAATTCAGAGGAAGAAGTAACTGTCAGCCTGGTAACTCAGAAGTTTGCAGGGCAGGACTGAAAGTGGGCTGAGCCTGAAAGGGTGAAGGCAAATTAGAAACTGAATATTGATAAATGAGCAGTTTAGTCAGAGAAGGGTAAGTACACTAAAGTGAAGTGGGGAAGAAAGTTGAGGAGTGTACTGAGACAGGAACTGTAAGAAATAAATGAAGAAAGAGTTTGCACTTACTAGCACTAAAAGCTTTTATAGACCCTGAGAACTCTAAGTTAAAAACACATTATTATTTTTTGTCATCTGTAATTTAGAATTAATTTAATTTTAAATGATAGATATGCATATGTATATAGTATATGTGTTAACCACCTAGTGAAATTATTATGTCTGTAACAAAGTCCTGATTTCTTTCCCATAACAATTATCAATCCTTTTAAACAATATCCAATATCAAGTAATTTTTAAAAGATTTTTCTTTTTCTTTCAATGCATTTACTTTGTTGATACTCTAAAAGAATAAACAACTACTGGATAATTCAGCACTGAACTCAATTCTATCAGGGAAATATAAGATTTTTTAAACTGGAAAAAAAGATGTGATAAAGCTAGGCCTTATAAAGATGACTCTAGTAGCAACATGTGTATTGGCTGGGGTGCAGAAAGAGCTGCAGAGCGGGAGCAAGGCTGCCTCTGGAAATCCAAGGCAAGCCTCTCCAAGGCAAGCCTCTCCCATCCTCTGGATGAGCCTCTCCCAGGATAGCAGCAAGTGGGAATGAGCAGTGAACAGACAGGACATGGGTGTGCTCAAAGAATCCATGGGAACTGGCAAATCACTGGAGGCGGAGAACAAGGGCCAGGCCGTCACAAGTGATGATAATAATGTGATAATTATGAGAAAGATGTGACTAGGAGGGAAGATTAATTCAGCTAAGAAGTGCTGAAATGGAGGTGCTAGAGGCACATAGTGGTCACAGGGTCCATAAGAAGGTAGCAAGTGGGAGATGGATCGCACAAGCCATATCAAGGGTAACGTAAAGGTGATGAAGCAGGTCAGTGTAGAAAAGGGAGTGGGGAAGATCATTGTGGGATCATTTAGGAAGGGAGGAAGGAACCAAGCTGGGGAAGTAAACAAAAAAGAAAAGATTATAAAGTTGGCAGGAGAAACCAAAGAACAGTGGGAGGGTAAATTTCAAGAAGGAAGAATTTGAATCTGGAATATTATGTAGGATTGTAGAGGACATTACTCATAAAAGGTAGGGAATTTGGAGAGCAATTTCAGTAACCTGATAAGGGAGGAAAGTCAGATTTCAGATGAACTGACCAACAGGAAAATAAAAGCAATCCAGCCCAGTGCTGGGGTATGGACAATTCTAGCACAGGGAAGATAACATAGGCTTTCTCCCTGATCTGTGCCTTAGAATCAAAAACAGGAAAAGAAAAACAAACAAACACCAGTTTGAAAATTGTGGGATTATTAAATCCCAGAAGAATAAGATCTGCATTAAAATTTATAGATGAAGGGCCGCCCCTGGTGGCACAGCGGTTGAGCACTGGGCTGCGAAGCTGCCCGCAGCCTCTGCAGCGCCGGTTTGATCCCTGGCCGCCAGCGAGGGGCCCACATGGTGCGCAGACCTCTCCTGCCGCCCACTGCTCCCCTCAGCAGTGTATTTAATCGGTCTTCCTGTTCTGTTCCCCATTCTGGCTCTGGTGAATTCTCTCACCTTCCCGTGCTTCTGACTGTACCCAGTGCTTGTATAAATAAATAAAATTTAAAAAAAAACACCATTATAATAGGAAAAAATATAAAGTTAACAGCAATATTTAAAAAAAAAATTATAGATGAAAAGAGCCTTTTTGACTATTTACTCACTGTAATGGCAAATTCCTACATCTGCTTCTAACACACACCACTTGTTAAGATTTAGTATGAGTAGCTTTCACCTTATTGCAGAACTCTCAGCCCTGTGTCATGGTGGTAGCCTGAGCGTTTTCAGACAAATCTGAAACCTCTAACAAACCTTGCTAGCTCCTAGATCACACAATTCTGACATGTCACTCCGCCCCCCTCAAGCATTCTCTTAGCCTCTGTCTGAACTGCCCTCAACTCTGCTTGTATTGTTTATCAAAAAAACCTTTCCTTCTCAACCTGTCAATTCGCTCTTCAGGGGAACAACATTTCAGGGGTACATATCATCTATTGGAGAGTTGAAACTTTATATTTGCGGCCTTATTAGCTAATCTCTAAACTGCTTATAGTTATTTTTAGTTTCAGATGAAAAGTGGGGAAAGGTAAATATAAGTCTATTAGTGTGGATCGGGCGCTCCAAACCCTAGCCAGTAAGTTATGGGAACTGCAGTCCAGTGAAAGCTCTGGGGGGGGTCTACCATTGCTCCACCCGCTCTACTCAGGACCTTGGGGCAGTGTGGGGAGAGCTGGGGCATTGGGGCCTGAACCCAAGGGTCTGGGAGAGGGCGCGCCTTTTACCCTGCGGCTGTTTTCCATGTTAGCTTCCAGCAAAAGTCGCAAGGCGCTGGGGCAGATGGTTCTGGTGCCGGGTCATCAGGACACCCCGGAGGTGGGCAGCCCTTATAGTCAGCACAGCCTCGCCCACCGCTCATTGTTCTGTTAACCAACAGTTACGCCATTCTCATCGACTAAAAGCCAATCCAAAGTAGGGAAGGTTTTAAGCTAACCCCTGACTTCTGTGACGTTTACACATATGGTTCTGCAGCACCCACTGCGTCACACCTCAGACAGATTGTGTTTTCCCTGCGTGGGGTGATGCGTGCTGTGGATGCGGGGGGAGGGGCGGATGGGGGTGGGAGTGGGTTGGGGGCGAGCCAATGGTCAACTGTGTGGGAGAACAATTGAGGTCAGTGGGCCCCGACGTCAGTCACCAGTAATAATAATTTCAATAATTGGGATATGAATACGGTAAAATTTAGGTTTCGGAAAATTAGATGTGTCTGGTGACCACTGGCCACGTGTCAGGTGGGGGGAGGGGTTGTGTGTGATGAAGGGACTGGAGTTCTAGTGGCTTTTGAGGCAAAAAGAAAAAAATCAGTGCTGACCTTGTCTTTATCTACGATGTTGATATTTTGTTCATCACGGATATTTCTGTATTAATTTTCATTTTCTTAAAATATTGCATTCATACTTATTTTTATTGCTGATTTTTTTTGAGCCCTCTTACAGTTTTGTACTAAGGACCAGTGACCCATTGTCTTACCCAGTCCTGGTTTGGAGATGGGGTGGTAGCCCCCCAAGATTCCAGGTGAATGAAAATGGAACTCTGTTGATTTTATTGGTCAAGTGTAAGTAAGTGCGTCTCCCCTAGTTCTCCTGAAACTTACAGCAGGGACCATCTAGGAATCTTATGTTTGGTTTTTCTCTAACCTGGAGTCAGGATTCTATTTGTGTTACCACTGTTTTGTGCCAGAACCCAATACTTTGTGTTTAATAAATGTTGATTCACCTAAACGAGTGGTATTTTGGCTTCAAATTTGAACTTGAACTCTAGAAATTTAATGTAGCTTTCTGAATGGGTTAGGCTTCTTGCATTAAAAAATGCTGGTGTTTAAATACAACATTAAAAAATACTTCACTGGAGAATTCAACTGTGCACTATTTTAGTTCTTCTAAAAGTATTTGGGCCTATTGATATGAGTAATTAAAAGTCCTCCTAGTTATCATGGAGCAATAGTCATCTGAGAACTATTGTTTAAATGGTTTTATCCCAGAATTGAAAATCAGGTCAGAGTAATGGGCCACTGAAAAACAATGTATACAATAATTTACTGGTTTCTTGTTTTCCATTTTTCCCTTAATATGCAATAGAGCATTTCAGATATCATTCATGAGTATGCTGCATGGAAAAAAGGAAATGCTTACAGTGTATAATTTTGTACATTATGCAAGTATGAGCTTTAGAACCATATGCAAAATACTTTTAGACAACATCTTACAGAGGTGAAGTATTAACCAGTTAATTTGTACTAAAATAACATTTTAGTTGTAAAATCTAGCTCTGTTCATAGGGAAATTTTTTTTTTCAAAAAAAAACAAGGTCTTAACATGTTCCCTCTTCAAGAAAAATGTATAATTTAACTGACCATGATGATTAAAAAATGCAAATTTAATTATGGAATGTTAAAGATGGAAGTTAATGAAGGCACTTTTTGGATAAAAGGTCCTTCCATGACATTCTTACATTGGAGGTATAAAATTTTTACAAAAGTAATATTTTTAGAAGAATGAACAGAGAGAACTTTTACCTTTATGGGATGCGATTATAGCCTGAGGAATCCAGCCTGAAATTTTAAAAATTCATGTAAAATGTACATTCTCCTTTATAATCAATCTTGTCTTAGTAGAAAAATAAAGTGGTTCACTCTAACTCTTCTCAAATCTTTGAGTAATATTTACATTGAAGCAAGACACCCTGTGTTTATCCTGTGGCTTTACCTTCCTGGCACACTGCCATTGCCTGCAGGGGTATGCATACCCCAGTTTGAAAGCTCTATCATATCATGTATGTGGGTTTGGATAAGAAGAAAGAGTCCTGTGCTCCAAGTCAGGGCATGTGGGGTTTAGTCTCAGCTCTGACATTAACTATTTGTTGGCCACCTTCAAGTCACTTAATGTCTTTGGGTCTCACTTTCTGCAACAGCTAAATGAAGTTGGGAGCTTAGCTCAAAAAAAATTTATTATTTAAGTACACTCTCCTTAACAGATTATTGTTGTAATGTTTACATAAAAATTGTTTTTTAAGAACAATTTTTCAGTGAAAAAATGTCTCAAGAAAATTACGCTTGTGATGGCTACCATCAAAGCCACATAATAAAGTTTTTTTTTTCTTCCTGATTTTGTCTTTAATAAGGCCAGTGATCAGTTTGGATGCTATTTTTCTAGGTGAGTGAAAACAATGTTTATGAGATAAAATAATCATTATCTGTTGCTTTCTACTGTGTAGAATGGGCATAGAATGAGCAATGCATCATTCATAGTCAAAATATATTCTTACATATATAACAAATGAATCTTTTTGAGATAAGAGCAATCTTTTTGATAAGAGCATCAACATTTTCCTTGTAAGTTTAGGTAAAATAACGTATCGTAACTAACAGTTACAACTTGCTTGTATGTTTATGTAAAATGAGAATCATAATGGAATGTTAAATTTCATGGATATTTCCATGAATGTCATGTTACTACCCTTCTTATGAGAAGAAGTAGTAATTTGTTCTGTTCAGTTCTATATGTAAAGGATATTTGTATAGTGAACAATCTTGAAAGACAGAGATAGTATCTTCTTCCAAACCAAAGTGCAGGTGTCATGCATTTGGCCATTCCCATAAAGCTAGGGTGGGAATCTGCCCTCACCAATGGAGTGAAAAAGAGGTGATTAAAACAAGCTCTCATACCAACTGGGTGCTGCCACACAAGTTTCTAGCCTTGTGAAATTGCTATGCTATGAATACAAAGCCAGCCCACAGTGATTAGATAATTAGATGATAAAGAGAGGAAGACAAAGATTCCAGTCACCACTGAGGTTCTGCCTTTCCTGTAGTTTTTCTTCATATTTCTCTATTTGCTTCTATTAGTTTGATTAAAGTTTCTTTCAATGGCATCTTGTCGTTTAGGTGGGTACTGGCAGCAGGCAAGGAAGTGTCAAGGAGGGAAAAAAAAAAAGTTGCGCATAATTTGGAATAGAGAACCACTAACACAGGGTTAAACAATGAAAGCAATGATTTGGTTGCTTTTTTTTTTTTTAACTGAAAGAAAGTTTAACTGAAATAGCCTTTTATTTTCCAAGTATATAATTATGTAACTAGTGATAGTATAATCTCATGAAAAAGAAAAAAAAAACAGGATACATAAGACATATTCTCTAGTGGGATAAGGGAGATATCGTCTTCTTAAAAATCACCCCTCTGAAGTAAATCAAGTATTAGGAAATTAGAATATTGCCTATCAAGTAATATATTTCAAAGCTCTAAAATTCTTTCTTGGGCCTGCAGATTTTCTGTATAGAAAATGAGGTGTTTTTAAAGTTTATCCACTGATGATGTTTAAAAGAAAATTGAGATAAAATTCATATAATATAAAAATTATCCCTTCTGAAGTTTACAATTGGCATTTACTACATTTACAATGTTGTACAACCTTTGCGTCTATTGAGTTCCAAAATACCTTTCTTACTTCCAAAGGAGACCACATACGCATTTAGCAGTAGTTCCCTATTCCTCCCTTCTCCCAGTCCTCACAACCAGTGATCTACTACTTTCTGTCTTGGATTTGCCTGTTCTGGATATTTCATATAAATGGAAACTTACAGTATTTCATATAAATGGAAACTTCCATTTACAGTATATAAAGGGAAACTTACAGTATGTAGCCTTTTATGTCTAACTTCCTTAACATGGAAATTTTTTGAAGTTCATGCAAGTTTTTGCATGTGCTAGCAATCTTTTTCTTTTTAGGGCCAAATAATATTCCATTCTATATGTATACCACATTTTTATAACCATTCATCCATTGAATGACAAAGCTACTATGTGCATTTAAGTCTTTGTTTGAACACCTGTTTTCAGCTCTTTTAGGTATAGATCTAATGGTCCAATTGCAGGGCATCATGATTATTTAGTATTTAAGTTTTTGAGAAACTGACAACCTGTTTTCTACAGTGGCTGTACTATTTTACTTCCATCAGCAATGTATAAGGGTTTGAATTTCTCTATCCTTCAACACTCATGATGGTTTCAGATTACATTTCCCTAATAACTACTGATGTTGAACATCTTTTCATATGCTTGTTGGCCATCTGTGTCTCTTCCTTGGAGAGAATTTTTTAAATAAGTTTGACCATTTTTAATTGCTCTTGTTGAGTTTTAAGAGTTCATTATATATTCTATTTTTTTTTAACTTTTAGAGATTTATTCATGCACACAAGAGCTGGGGTACAGGCCAGAGATGCAGGGGGTGAGAGGACTCACCAGACACAGAATGGGAAACAGAATAGGCAGACTGACTGAAATACACTGCTGTGGGGAGCAGCAAGCGAGACAGGAGAGGTTTGCTGTGCCATGTGGGTCGCTCCCTGGCCGGCCAGGGATCGAACTCATGCTGCAGAGGCAGCGGATTGCTTCATAGCACAGTACTTAACCCCTTGTGCCACCGGGGAGGCCCCATTATTTATTCTAAATACTCTTAGACCCTTCTCAGGTATCTGATTTACAAATGTTTTCTCCTATTTTGGCGGTTGTCTTTATAACTAGATGATTTTCTACAGACTGTCTAATCCTTATATAATTAAGGCTAATTAGAATTTAACTTACACATATTATCATTGAGTATTCCTTTTTCTACCTTACCCATGTAATGAGAGATTTAAAGAGCCAATGAGTTAGAGAAGGATCTGCATGACCACAGTTTTTGATATAAAGGAGGGACCTAAGCTTAATTGGTTCTCACAACCTGAAAGCCACAGCTTTCGATGAACCACACAAAGTCCTTCCAGAGAATTTTTTCATTATCTAATAATTAAACTGTAG